ACATCACCCCTGAACTGAAACCTGATTACGTTTACTTAGTTACTTCATTACTATTTATGGAAATGCAATAAAGTTGTAAGTGCAGACTACAGCAACATAAGCATCGGTGCCTGGACTCACAATGAAAATATACAAGTCTTCAATCACGAGCCTCATCAAAATCATATTCAAATAAAACCAAATGCAGGGTAAGGGAAAATAGTAAATTCTTAATTGGTCATTACATTGTAATGACCTAAATGGAATTTATGGAATACAACAAAGATTTGTTTTCAATGGTCTTTAAATTTGGATTCTATTCTGATCAATACACCGGCACATGTTTTCTAAAAAAAAGTTTAAAAAGAATTCTCAGGGGAAACTTTAGTTCAACTGAACGAATAAATGTTCAATTTATCCAGAGCTGCAACTTTGTTTTTGGAGTGTTTATTTAGGGTCCATGAGAGATTTTCCATTCACCAATACATTGCTGCTATGAAACCACTAAAAATACCAAACATTAATTAGTTTCTTGACAGCCATTTTGAAGACTATTATCTTTTGTTTTTCATCAGTCACCAATTAGAGTATTCAGAGCCAATAGCGAGTGCAAGGAATATGTTGAGAATCTGCCCACTTCCACTGAGAGGTCGCCATCTGCAGTTCTTCCCAGTTTATATAACAGAGAAAAGTTTTGATGAATGAAGCTTATGTTTTTTGCGTAGTTTCGTGATTGACATGAATTTATATAAGTGACTTTGCTGCTGCCATCAGTTTGCCTGCTTCATTCGCACGTACCTGTTCATCCTGCTTTAGTGCAGACCTGGCAGAGAGTTGATATTTTTGGCAGATGGTGTTCAACAGGGACATCTTGTTAAGGTGAAGCAGCCGGATAATGTCCATCTGTCCGCATACAGTGACACTCTCTTTATTGCCTCCAAATCTGTGGGGTTAACACAGTGGGCCAGGTGCGCAAGGACAAAGTAACAGGACAAAGTGTTGAGTGGAAACAGGTACATTTTCAGTATGTGTTCAGATATGGGAAATGGGAAGACAAGTCTTCTTTTAGACCAAGGTCAGACTATCTACCAATATGATGATTAAAGATTAAGATGAAATTGTTGGATATATCGATTCAGTACACACTAATATTATGTGACAAATGAATCAGTTTTAGCTTCAGTATTTATGTTTGTAGAAGAAACACATGTTCAGGAAGATAAGTAAAAGAGATATCAGCCATGTTGGATTACACAAGGTTGAAATGACCATATCTTTATCAATTAAAAAAGAAAAAAAAGACTTCATTAGTTAATCATTAGTGGTGGTCTGAAGGTATAGAACATAGCCACAGAACCAATTAAAACTAGAAATCTCTGCCCTAAAAGATCCTATCAACATTATGCCTGTGCTCATCTATATGTATGTGTGAGTGTGTTTAGGAGAAGGCCAGGCAAAAAGCATGAAGGTTACCACAATGTGGTAATCAACAACAGATTATCGCTTCCATACATGCATCATTTACATTGCAGGCTTGGTAATTTAATTTTTTTTGCTAAATGAAAGCTTTCCTTCAAATACAAGCACTTTTGTCCATTAACTAAAACACAACTTAATATGCCCGCCTAATGAGAACCCCATTGCTTTAATGTAAAAGTACTGATTTAATTTGACAAAGGCCAGACTAAACAACATTATTTATTGGTTTTAAACTAGGATACCTCTTTACTTGAAGTGGTAACCTCACACTCGGCAGGGGTGACCATTAATGTGCAATGTGCTCTGCTTTTCACAGAAATCTCTCAAATTGCATCATTAAATAAGAAAATGAATTACCGAACATCCTAGTGTATGTAATAATTTACTTTTAGTTGCATATAGGCCGAATGACGATGAGAAACAAACAAAGAAAAAACACAAAACATGCTAAATTAGTTGGCCAGTTGTATAAATTGTCTGGGGCCTGACCGGTCTGTTTATTTGTATCGCTGTTCCTATTCCAATATATACGCACAGGAGGTGAATGGAAATACTGAAAAAAGTGTCACTGAAGTCATGGCAGAGACATTGATGTACATTTTTACACAGTAATGGAGCGCCGCAGTGGTGTGGTGGTCAGCACCATCGCTTCACAGTAAGAGGGTTCCCACTTCCCACGTATGTGTGGGTTGTCTCTGGGTACTCTGGCTTCCTGCCACAGTCCAAAAATGCAAGTCAGGTTAACTGACGACTCTCAATTGCCAATTTATGGTTGTTGCCGTGTAATTGATTAGTGACCGATCCAGGGGGTACCTTGACTCTTGCCCCCAGCTAGCTCCTGTGGGTACCTCAGGAGGAGACCTAATGAGGAGCCAGCCAGATGCATTCTTTAGGAGCCTCTGCATCTTACTTAGCCCATGACTGACAGAGCACTGCAGCCAAACATAATATAACACTGAGCCTTTGAGACAACGTGGCTAGGATGTCATGGAAGTAAGTATAATAATTGTAAATTGGTGCCTCATATTTTGCCTTTCAACTTTGGTCTAAAAAAAACATGGCATATAATGTCACAGAAATATGCCGACATGAAAAGAGGGCAGCTATCAAGATACAAGAAATTGTGTTGCTGCTAGTTAGAGCAGAGTTAATGCTAGCTGAGGCACTGGCTAAATAATTAAATCAAGACTTTCCTTGTACCAGATGCTTTGACATAGCTTCTGGGATCTGAGTGGTTTGTGATCAGAGGTGTTCTTTTCTTTTCTCTTGATAATTTTGCCCATATTTCACAGCAGATTTCCACAGGCTTTCCAGAGAATATCCTTTAGTGGTTGGTTGAGTTGTAACAATTAAGCAGAGCACTGTGGAAAGCCAGTATCCAGGCAGACAGGAAGTTATGAAACCATAACCTTCATCCAAAAAATGAATGCCACAGTACTTACATAGTCTGACTTTGTCTCGACTCTCAGGAGTGCAGTCAGTTTCCTGGCAAAAGTAAGATCATACAGGAATTCTGGAGAAACATTACAAACAATTATGCCTGCGGGTTGCCATCCCGAAAAGCTTTAGTGTAAACACCTGCTTTCAGGATTTTTCTCAAGCTTTAACTCTGTCCAAACTAATCTCTTCCTGGAAAAATCCTCAAAGCTCATTCTTTATGAAAACGTTAAAAGGCTGCCTCAATACACAGAATGCAGCCTGAACACAAAGTTCTTTCAATATTTTTCAGAAACAGTAGTGATCCATTGCAATCAGGCACACACAGACCTTTCAGCAATCATAAGCCTGAAAAGGCCATAAAGTTCTATTTACTGCTTCCCACTTTCTGTAAGAGTCTTTAATTTTCCTTTACGACACAGCCCCTGGCTCCTCTTAGCACAGGAATCAAGTTTGTCTTCACAGTAAGAGTTGTACACATAGCACCGATGCACATTTATTTTGGTTATGTGGGTGCAGAGGCTAAGAACATGGAGTAGGTCGTCCACCAGTCAGAAGGCTTTAGTTCAAACGGCACCTGTCATTTACGAGAGACAGAGTGGTATTACTGAAGCTCTATAGAAGTACACTGGGTTAGCCTTCTAATCCTCTGGAAAAACAACAGTTTTCATGGGATTAAACTGATGAAATGAAGGCAGTCCATTATTCATACAAATGTGAACCAAGTTGGATTTATAATGGGCCCTGGGATCAATATTTGCATTTTTGTTTTTTCTAATTAAGCATCAATCTTGGCAGCACGTAATTCTCTTGCTGTTTTTCAGCAGGGGGATAGTGTGAAAAACTTACAGCTCAGTAAGAGTTACACACTTGGAATACTGCCTCTGACAGAAGCTGGTGGATGACTAAAGGAAATACTGGATTGAAAAGAAGAGAATACATACAAGTAAACTCTCATAATTAGGTGCTATTGTTGATAAAATTATCCGTAGTAATGCATGAACATTTTTTCCCCAGTCGTCGGTTCTTTCCCTGATGTGAAACAGGTCACACAATGTTCGCACATTTATACATGAATATCCTGAATCATATAAAGCCCTTTTGTTCTCATTGAAAAACAAAACATTGGAAGGTGATTCTGATGACTCAGGAAGTTCCATCATAACTTCAAAAATCTGATCATTCTTTTCATTCGTCCTCACCCGATCCAAACCTAATGACTGCTGGGTGCTCACACTATCTGAAAGAGTGACATACTCATCCATTGAATCTCATATAATATTTATTTACAACTCTGTTTCACTTCAGAACAAATGATATGCCCTTTAATAGATTAATTTTACACTTTTCATACAATCCTTTATATTCTTTTGAACAAAAAAAATGTAAACGATTTCACAGTGCATCTCAAACTTCACTGACAACAATCAATAATTTAATATATTCATAATGTGATAATATTATTTTAAAACTATTTAGATAAACAGAACTTCTCCATATACAAACATACATATATGTACAGCACGCCACATTCAGCCTATTATGTGTCCCAAAAACTAGGGAGAGGCTCTATCATACCTGATAGCTGTGTTTGTGGGATATTTGTATCTACATATGCCAGAATACCAGCACAAGGTGTTTGCTTCCAGAGGAGAAAGCAAATGGTTCATGCAAACACGTTGTTGCCCAAATTTTCAGAGTCTATTAGAATTTTTCTAATCGCATTTCACCTCACAAGTGGGCAGGATTAACAACGTCTGTTATCTTTTCAGGCTGCATTTTGACAGATACAATTTGAAGTTTTAACAAAAATGTGAATATGATCCATTTGAAAGTATGAATAACAACAGATGATTCCTTTCATATCCATGCTTCCTCAGCACGCTCTCTGTAATTAAGATTAAACTGCCCCATATATTGCACACTTTGACATTTAGGATAATAATAAATATTTTAAAATCAAGCAAGAATTTATGATTGATTGGATCATAGAAAGGGTCACAGAGGCCGAAAACGATAAACTAAAAAAATTAGCTAATATGGAGCAAAATGGGGCCATGGGTTTGACCATGAACTTGATAAATATGTGTACCTCATGACATTGCATGTATGTCCATTTCTATTGTGCATAGATATTTTTATGAGTCATCTATTGCTTTTGGGCATATTTAGGTTAATTCGATGTTCCTTCGTCAAAACAAAAAACATAGACAAAAAATAATCTGATCAAATGTGAGCCAGCTTTTCTTTTTCTTTCTTTTTTTAGCTTCTGTTTTAACAGCAATGCATACAAAAGTACAGCTCAAGGAAAATGGACTCCAGCTGCACTAAGGGACCAAAGATCTGACAGCTATTTTGCACTTCAACATCTTTATGGAAACATTTTTTAAAACACCTGTAATGAAACCTGCCATAAAGCTGAAACAGCATGAAAAATAAACTTATCATCCCCATTTCGAAAGAAGGGATGTCTTTATTCTTTTTTAGACATTTGGACTTACGTTTATAATAGATTTATATGAATTACATTTGGCATCTGTACAAGCAAATAATATTTACAAACATGCATGCATTTATAGTATTTACAAGATATTTTTTGAATGATGAAAGTCAATGTAGGTGACCAAGGGTGAAACGGCTAGTGATTCAGAGTATCCACCTAGGTACTTGCAGGATTTGTTCTTTGAGTAGATCGCAGTAGAAAAAAGAGACATCAAAAGCAGATTTTCACAGTTATGGTTCCTTGTTTGCTCTTCCATCTTTTCTAACATTGCTGGTCAAAACAAAGCATTTCCAGCACAGGTCCTGAAGCCAAGTCTTTGATATGTATATTCTTTTCATGGTGACCTGCATACTAGTAGAAAAATATGAGCGTCAAAAACACATTTTGGCTTTGACAGTGAGTGTTAAGGTGACTGTAACCTTTGGTTGCAGCATGACAAGCAGAAAAATCCTCAGTCCCCTCAGTTTTCATTCTAAATTCCTTTTTTCTGACTTTCAGTCAACATAAAGCCGCTGTTAGCCTGGTCGGACGACATCACAGGGCTAAGTACAATCATTTTTGTTTCCATAGAAAATAAGAACCATTACATGCTTTACACAGCAGATAGGTTACTTTCGACTTTCTTTTAATTCTGGAGGTTACAGAGCAAGACACAGTAATAAACTGCTACCCTGTTCACCCATGTGTTTGTTTTTGTTGAATGCATACTGTGGATGAGAAGTTAAAGAACACAGTGCTGTCTTCAACATCCTGATAAAACCTGCATGTGTCTGTGGAAAGGCCTGTTTGTCTTTTCAAATGGTGCTTCTTTTTACACCATAAGGCTTTCACATGCAGTTACACGTGTCAACTGAAATAAACTCACGGTACAGACAGCCCGAGGCTTCCTTCATTTCATCTCACTGCTCGAGTGTTAAAGGATTCACTTGAACTTCACAAGTCTGAGCTGAGGTTATGAGAATGCTCAAAGTCTAAAACCTGTTTGATTTGATTGGACTATACTTGCTCCATTGTTTTAATCTTTTTCCACAGTAAATTACTTTCTCTGTTTTTTTTTTCTTTCATGAAAATATATTACAAATGTATGAATAGCTATAACACCTCCATTCCGAGGGATTTAGGGAAGTGAAAATTTAGCTTTGGGACACCCCACATTTAAGAAGTGGATGTTCTGGGATGATTAATGTGTGGTTTACTAAGAAAAAGAACTAGTTATATATAATGCTGTAAGACAGACTTTAACTAGAAAATCATGGTAGAAATAGTCTTTATCCTCCATCTTGAATATGAAGAGGTAGAAATAAACCTTACAGTTCACCAGTAATGTGCAACTAGACATACAGTATTTCATTGACCACCTCTGTATTTGGTTGAATACATAATGGAAAAACTAAGCCAGATACTAGCTCACACTATTATTACTTTTTTTTTCATATTACTTGAGTGTCGAAGCCTTACTTAAATAGACAAGGGGCATTTGTTGTTCTGGAGAGCTTATGTCTGCCTGAGCAAGGCTTAAGTCCACCACTGACAGAGATGCAAGCCCTGTGCTAACAAGCATCTAACCCTAGGGCGAAGTGTTGTGTGAAATGCCCAAGTGCAGTATTAGTTTAGCTGGTGATTGTAATTTTGTTTGATGTTCTTATAGAAGTCACTTTCAAGACGAGTGCAGTAATTTGAGGAGCATAGCAAGCAGCAGAACACACCACAAGCAGTGACCTGGTTGTTCCGTATGACCCCAGGCAAATTTTTGTCATGCAATCTGAAAGTGGGAACACAAAATGGGAGCCGCTTTTGTAGTCAGGTAGTTTGTGGAATCTGAGCAGAGCTGCTTTCTAAATTAGGAAATCATGAAATTCATGCCAGTGAGCCACAACATCCACTCAAGCAGATCTAAATTGTTTTCAACATGGCTTGTCTTTTTTGCACCTCTGTTTGACAGCCTCTGCTGCCAGTGAAAAAGTACAAAACTGCTTATTGGACAAACACTGCAGTGAAGCTCAGCTGTGCTCTGTGGGCATTTTATTGGAATAATGTTGGCGGGTGCTGAGGCGAAGCCTTCTGTTTCTCATGTTGCAAACTCTTTTATTGAACCGCAGATAAGAGAAGGCAAGTGGTCTATAGTCATGCATAGACTTATTTCCCCCCCACTCCCCATTTTTGTAATAATGACATAGAAACACAAACATTTTAAATGTTCTCACTTATCTGTTCTTTGCTTTTTTTTTATTTGTGTGGTTATCACGACCAAAAGAGTTTGGTGACACAGATATAGCTTCTCTCAGCAACAGCACATTTATACTCCTGCCTGTTAAAGCCCATTCTCACAGAGGCACATTAGAAAATCACAGTGAAAATACAACATGTGATTAAACACTCTTTTCAAACACACACACACACTCACACACAGACTTATTTGATCAAAGCAGCTCTGATGAAAAGATCTATCTGGTTGGTTTGGAATTTGAAGTCATGCTTTTGTAGAATTCGACCTAATAAGTGACAGAAAATTAACACTAAGCATAGTAATTGTTGGAAGTTAGAGGCACAATCACTTTCATTAGCCCAGTGACAGGCAAGGGCTTGACATTAACTTGTAAGAGCCTGATTCAGAGAAAGTTAAATTGATTTCCCCAACCTTGACAAACTGGCTTGTTAACTTTTCCTGGATCGTCTAACTAGTCTTTTCTGGATATGCTATTAATTTATTCTGTTCACTTATTTGTTTAAAGATGTTGCTGCATTTGCCAATGTGAAGACAACATTACAAAAGAAAAACCATCATATACTGCAGCAACATATTTAGAATGAGACAGATTCCGGGCAAGACACGACCTGGGAAAAGGATGAGGGAAATATGTGAACCCAGTCTTTACTTTTTATCGCCGTTTGAGACAGTTATTTCTGTTTCACTCTGAAAAGGTTTATTATATGTAAGGAAATAAGAACTTTAAAAGATTGTAATGAAAAAAAGTCAGTATTAGGCATCAAATGAAATTGTTGCTTATTTAAAATCTAAAAATGTCAAATTTACCTCTTAAACCCACTGAAACAGTATCCACATAAACTAGGAGTGATTAGTGCTTATCGAGTGATGCCGTATAAGAAGTTCTGCGCTCATTCTGCATGTTCCCAGAGGTGATTAGACAAAACAGACATTGACAAAATTGGCATAGTTTCAAAACATACGATCAATACCAACCTCTGGGCAATCTGCCTATTTTTAAAGGTAACAGAGGGCTTACTAAGTCAGATCCTTTTCTCTTTGCTTTGTTCTTCATCTCCCCAACAAACGTAGTTTATAAAGATGAATATTGAGTTCAGCACACTGTAGGTAGATTAACTGGAGCTTTGAAGGCTTTGTTCATTCTTAGCAAAAAGGACACAGTAGTAATTTCCTGTTAATGACAACAGCAACCCTGTGGTCCTTCAATTTGAGGCATGCATAAATAAATACAAAGACATCATAAAGTACAGTATTTGTGAAAAACACTCAAATAAAAACACTTAAAATCAAGTTCAGGGAGTGTAAAGTCTTAGTATCTGTTCCTCCCTCTGGATCCAGCGTAAACTGATTTGAATTGTAACTTCACAGGCTTGTCTGTTTGACGATGATAGTTCAGAGTGACCAGACCCCCAATGTTGTTTGTCAATGTGACCTCATGAAATATCAATTTACACATCTGGGGGCTGTTTGGCTTGCTTATCCTCCTGTACTAGGTTTTTACTACGTGGTCAGTTTCCTTTTTTGTTTTTCAAATACTTTCTTTATCTTTTTCTTTTGGCAGTGTCTGATTTATGAGGCATGAGATAAGTCTTAGATTCCATATTAAATATATATTTTTCTTATTTTCATCATGTACTTGATGCTGATCTTTCACTTAACTTGCTATTAGTCTCTTTAATCGTTTGTTTTCAATGTCCCCTCCTCTTGTTTTCCCAATTCCCATCTCTACAGGAAGTCGCTCTGTAGTTCGTTGGAGAGCTGACTGACCGCTATCTCGCTATGCAGAGATCCCGTCAATATCCTGGCAGTCTGCTGTGGACTGTAATCTGTGAAGTTTCCCCTGTCACCAGCGACTGCTTCGGGGCAAGGACAGTGTCTGCAGGTCCTGTGGTTGTCGGGCAGCCCGTTGGACAACCTTGTGGAGTTGCACTCTTCATTGTGATGCGATTGCCTGCAAGATCCCTTCTGTGTTGAGTTTTGCTGACACGCACATCCGCAGAACGTGCTTCTACACAGGGCCACGTCGCGACACAGCGACTTTCGGAAATTGGGCTTGAAGACCAAATAAACAATGGGGTTGTAAAGGGTGGAGGACTTGGCAAAGATAGCTGCCAAAGCAAAAGCCATGGGTGGTACATTAGCTGGGTTACCAAACGCTGCCCACATGGAAACAATTGCATACGGACTCCATGCTGTCAGGAAACCAATGCAAACTGCCACAGAGAGCTGCAAAGAAACATTAAAAACAACCAATGTATAGTGTTACGTAAGCATATTATAATATGGGGATAAACATAGAGGATATGAATAATCTTGCAATGCAATTTCTCCGTACTTACCTTAACGATAAGTGCATGTGCATTAGTGATCTTGTTCTGTGGGGACATATGCTGCTGCACGGCTTGGCGAGAGCCTCGCACAGTGAGCAGGATAAACGTGTAGGACAGAAAGATGACAGTGCACGGTATAATGTAGCAGAAAAAGAAGAGGCAGATGATGTAGCTCATGGCCGCAGAGCTTTGGCTGGGAGCGTGCCAGTTGATGCAGCACGCTGTTCCGTAAGGCTCTGCCCCGTACTCTCCCCAGCCAGACAGCGGGCCTACTGCAAACACCCCGGCGTAACACCAGATACCAGCCACCAGCAGACAGGCATGGCAGTACGAGAACTTGTTACCTACAGAGGGAGTACAGAGACAAATGGAAATATGCTAGAGTCGAGTGTAATTATTGGATGAGGACATAAAAACTGCATAGCAACAAGAAATCCCTGAACCCTATGATATCTGGAAAGAGGTAAAACATCCTCTTTTAAATATAACTTTAACTAAGCTCATACAAGCTCATACAAGACAAACCCCCGAGAAAGAGGCTCACAAATGTTTGTGTTTGAAGTGGGTTTTCTGAGAATTGGACATTAAGCCTTTCATTAGTGTTCTTAAATATGACATATTCACAGTAAATTATGTACAATAGGGTTATGCAACATGAAAATGTTCAACGTTCACTTACACGGCAACGTCTCATTCAGCCACCATTACAGGGTCTCTCTTATGAGAGTGAACATTTTGCACAGTGACACAAATTCATTATTGACATTGAACTTTAGATACACTGTTCTCTGATGTCCCCGACCCATTTGTTGTCCACTTTTAAAATGTTTTTCTTTATAATTAACAATTATAGATTAGATTTTCTTCAGCAAATTTAATTCAGTATGCACTTGAACCATTCTTTGTGTCCTGGCTTTAGTTGAGCTTACGTGATACATACATTGCGCAATCTTGTTTATATTTTTTTACGACCCATTGCCACAGTACTCGTGTCGGAGCGTGAATCAGAGAATCTGGGAATCGCTGAAACATCCCTCACCACATTCTGCTATAATTGATTTAGTCAAGGGCTTCTTCAGTGTGCAATCAGTGAGGAGGAGAACACAGGCAGTCTTATCTGGCACCACACAGCCTCTTCAGCAGAATGTCAGTCCCTCTTACATTTCAAGCTGTGGGTGGGGGGAGGTGATTACACCCAGTGGCACTCACTGAACTGTGTGGTGCTAGGGAAGGATAGCTAACCACTGCAGAATGTTTTATCTAATGTGGAGCATCTCCTAAACCAAACCAAACTTCACTTATCCTGCTGGTACACGAAAGCAACTTAAAGACATTTTAAGCCAAGAGTTTAGCTCAATTTTAAAGAGGAGTCCACAAAAAATGTGCTCCTTTATTTATGTGAATGGATGCATGACAATTAGAATGTATATCAATGTCAATGTTTTTCTGACGTGACAGTGATCCAGTCAGAAAATGTCATTACGTATATAGAGCCATTCATGTTTTAAAAAGATCAGAGGTATATCTTTTGAGAGTGAAATGGGATAATTAAATTAAATCATAATTTAATCAAGCTTTTTTAATTTATTCAATCATCTTTTTAACCTAATCTAGATTAAGACACATAATTAAAAATAAATAAATCACCAAATAAAGAAGTACGGTACTCAATCAAAGTGTCTTGACTGACGGTCCAGCGGTTATGCTACTCCACCACCACGCCTACTTACATGTGGACTTTTGTTGTTTGTTATACCACCATTCACTCAGTTTCTAGAATTTCTAAATCCGATTAAGCCCATCCCAGATGCAATTTGATGAGAAGCGAGAAATAGTCTAGACATGTTTCCAGTCCATCTCACTGCCACACAGATGCAAAAAAACACATATCCTGAGGCTCACAGATATTTAGAAACAATTAACCCAGCTTGAAAAAATTGGAATGTGGAAGGAGGCCACAGTAGCTGGGAACGCGCATATAGAAGGGAATGATATGATAATATAACAAACCCCTCAAATACAGGATGCCACAGTGCTAACGATCACTCCATGTGCAGTCCTGCTCCTGTTAGCAGTATGTTATGCTCCGCAGCACTTCATAGTTATAACATGCTTTTGCTCACAATGTTCCTCCCACTGTCTTTTGTGAAATTCCAGGTTGTTGTTGTCTATATCTGAGTGAGACAGCCTCTCCTAAAGGCAACTTCAACTTTTGGTACAGGAACACTGTCAGCTCTGGTGTGATGCCAGATGAAACGGGTCTTTACTCTGTCAGGCTTCTTACAGATCCAGATCATGTGTCTCCTGAGTACTTCTCTTTGTGAGGCGTGATGCACATCAGCAGTTTGGCTTCGTGTATGATATTTGATATTTTCAGAGGGTTTGAATATTTTTCTCCTGATTTCAGCAGTCGATGAAATAACTATTACTTTCTGATTTACCATCAGACCCAATATAGGTTGGATATGGATATAAAAATTTCGAACATACATATGACGTCAAGTCATAGAAAAATATGTATAAAATATAAAAATGTAATAAAAATAAATAAGTTAAGTTCATTTAAAGTTCACGTAGTGAAAGTTAGAGTTAGTTACGGTACGTACTGTATCTCAGTCACCACTTCTACCTCCACACCAACCGTCTCCTCCATTTCCTGCATCGCTAAACGTGAACCTCCATTCGCCAATCTCTAAGGTAAAGAAAAACCCTTTTTATTGATTATTTTTATATAATTTGTTTCTTTTTACATCTCTCTTATATAATCTATTTGTTTTATTGCTATGTGTAATTATCTGCAGTATTTATTTAGGAGTTATCGTAGGTTTTGGGGCTGTGGAGCGAATTACAGGAATTACAGTGTATGCTTATGGGATATAAGCATACACACATATCTCAAAACAAACATTTCTTGTGTGTTTCACCATTTTTAATAATCCTAAATGATAGAGCAGGTCCATTTTTAAATTTGATGTGTAAAGTTTAAAAGCAAAGGAGGTCTTACAGGGACTCTGTTAACAGTGTAATAATCTATGCTAATTATCATTTCAAACACTTATTTGTCAGGCTTGTTGACTCTTGAGATTTAGACTATTCATTATAGACTGTTTCCTTTGAAAGCCGATAGGAAGAGTCTTTAATTAGAGTTTATAATTGTAAAACCTGCTGAGTAGGGAAAAGTTCTAACGTAGTGAAGCAGGATACATAAAAGTGGGAATTTGTTAAGCTTTGGAATGTAACTATAATGCACTGTTGTTCAAATCTTGATAATGTTGATGTGACTCGTCCTGCTAAGCAAGCATTCCTGACGTCTTAATCTGTATGTTAATGTTTCCTGTGTCTATTTTATCATATCTACCTACTACACTCAGAACTATATTCATTCATTGCCTGTTTACCATGTTTACCCATCTTTACCAGTTGTACCAGTCTTTTTGATTCTGAATTATGCATATTCACAGACAAAGAACGTTCAGGTACATGTTAGGTATAGAATGCCTTTTTTTCTGTGTAAAATCTGTAATAGAAAATAAAATTCAGTCAGAACAGTTTGGGTCTTAATTGGAAAAACGATATATAAAATGAACCATCTTCTTAACCAGGTGGTTTTATTCCTTCAAATCGACTTAAAAGGTGAACTGGCCCTTTAAATGGACCAGTAAGAAGGTAGCTTTTGTTTATTTTGGCAGCTGAAAAAAATGTTCCCTGCAGGCCCGTTCCATAACATAATTAAATCACAAAAATTTAATTTGGTGTGCTAGGCCGATCTTAATGAAGATGTCCTGACGGCTTTCTCATCCAGAGAAAGGCTGGAGCCTATCCCAGCTGACATCGGGCAAACGGTGTGTGTGTGTGTGTGTGTGGGGGGGGGGGATCCTGAACATATCGCCAGTCAATCATATCCTAAGTGGTAAAGAGTCCATATTTTTAAAGCAATTAAGATTCATGGTTTTTTTATTATGGCTAAGTGGTGCTGTGACAATGTATTGCCTTTTTATAGATAGAATGAATGACGAATAAAAAGGTTTAATGTGTGAATTAGAATTGATAATGAGTCATGAAAAAAAAATTAATTTGCTTTAACCTCCAAAAAAAGAGCCCCCCTTAGAGACATGCAGTCATTGGAACTGTCCTTGGAAACTCTGACAATGTATTTAAGAATAGAAGATAAAGACTGTGCTCAACTTTCCTTGAGTGATCTGGTGTAAATAAATCCTCTATGCCTAAAAATGGCACATAAATACAGTATTAATCATACGCTGCAACATTGTGCTGCTTGAACAGTTTTTATTCATCTTTTTTTTTTTACCATCTTTCATTTGCACAAACACTGTACGCCCGCTAATGTCTGGTGCCTGATAATCGAGTTGTTTGAAACTAATTAGTCATTAGGAAACAAAGATCCTCTTCCAAATTATAGTATATAATGACTTTGTGGAAAAGTGTGATACACAAACAGAACTAGCTTTTTTCTGAGCCTCTCTGTGCATCTCTCATGCAGTGTTGCATTTCAAGGCACACACACTCACTATATTTCTCTTATCAGTACTTATAAGTAATTGCACAGTCTATAAAAGTTTCAGAGTCATTTCATCCTTTGCCAGATCTTTGTTGTGTCTATCTTGTACCCCCTGTGTATCTGCCTCTGATTTTTGGTCTTTGTTCTTGTCTGTTCTCGTTTAATATATATATATATTTTTTTTATTTAGTTTATATTCAAACAGCTTAACAGTTTATATTTGTTTTCCTGCCTTTTGAATACACATCTTCATCCTTTCCCAAATCACCTTCCTCAGTCTTTTGTGACGATGTGACAACTCACTGTGGAAAACTGCAACATCAGTGTCAATGTTACATGTGGTAATTGCACTTTTTTCAAATCAGACTATTTATATTTTGACTGTTTGTGTGTTACGTCATTAGGGATTTGTTAGCTCTTCCAAAATCACGTTGTTTTAAAAAAAAAGTGCTTTAACTCTTGCGAACAAGTAAATGCATTAAAATTGACATTCTGATTACTGTAACCAAGCATTGTTTTGAAATACATCCATGTGGTTAGGCGAATGATCATTTTGTTGAAGCTGCCTCTTTGGAATACAGTTTAAGCCAAAGGACTTGAAAACACAAGGAATGTGAAATAGTCTTACTGTGAAGTAATAAACCTGACAACAGGCTTATTGTAGACAAGGCAGAGTTTTTTATGTGAAGAGTTAAGTTGAGTCCTTACATTGGTGAGAAAAAAAGGTTGAAAACATTCTTAACTCGAAGAATTAATAATACTTTTTCCAACAGCTCCCACGTTTATAATGCTGGCAAAAGAGGTCGTCATTCAGATTTTCCCATCAATGGTGCTGCACAATTTAATACTTACACTTGATTTTTTTATTTTCTCTTAATTCTATGAATAGGTTGCATTTTCTGCACCAGACCCATGACAAATATTCTTTGTATGTAAAAATACTTGGTTATTAAACCTGATTCTGATTCTGATGCTGTGAATACACTGTCAAGAACAGCATGAAAAGGGACAAAAGCCTTGCAGAAAATTGCACAGAACTTAAATCGAAAGTGTAGTGTGGTTTTTATTTCAGATATTTCCAGCTGAAAGATTAAATCAAAGATGTGTGAAATTATAAGGCGATTGATTTGGGCCTGACAGGTGTGAGTCTGAAAATCTCCCAGGCCACAGAAAATGGAACAGTAACCCTCACGGCTCCCACTGTTCACAGCGCCAGTGAGCGGTTTATGTAAGTGTCTCGAAAAGTCTGTCAACTCCGTACAAGTCAGTCTTTGATATTGGTTTTGTTTGCAGTTGTTTTCAATGTCCTCATAATGAGTCCTGAGCCATTTCATAAATCCAATCCAATAGGGTGTGCTCTGAGCTGTTGCATTTTTTTGAATATTGCTGATCGGTGATTGTGTGGCTAAAAGAGCGTTGATCTATTGAGAGCTACAACAGTATGAAGAAAACTGTGAAACCCACCTGTGCTCATAACTTCTCAGTGATTTATGTGTCAGATGATGCATTACTGACAGGTTGTTTGAGTTACGATCAGAGAACAGAAGCTATTTTTCCTTTTGCAGTTTTAACCGTACCATCAGGTGCAATGGCACATATTCCTGGTTTATTTATTGCTCTTTAAAAGTATTTTCTCATAACTAAAAGGGATGGTAAAAAATTATTTTAACTCTTCAGGTGCTTAAATTACTGTTCACATATTTTGTCATTTAGTCCGATGACTTGCACAAACAGCGTGGAGATTAGTGAATAAATAATTGTTTCCACTAGTCTTGATGGTGCCAAGATGTCTTGATATTCCATCGACTAGATGGTAAGATTTTCAAAAAGTTAAGACCTTATTGCTGGAAATGATCAATTAGGAACACCATGAAAAGCCCTTGTGAACATCACCTTATTTTAATACAATGTTGTTTAAAGAGGTTCATTCTTTGAACATTAATAGGCATGGCCTCTTTTCGTGAGGAGGCTGCGTACTGCTCCATTGAATGCCTTTTTTCAAATTCAAGGTCTTTCAATCAGTGGAAAACAGATCATAGTCATTGATGGGAGAAAAACCTGCGTTTCAGAAAAGAATGCAGAGATAAATCATCATTGTTCATGGTCTTTTTTAAATTTAGGAATGGTTTTTGATTAACACTTGAAAGTATGAATATTCTAATATGAGAAATACAACTTAAATGTATTATTAAAGTGTTACAACAGGTGTGTATGAAATAATGCTCAATTTTGAATGCATGCACTGTAGTCATTTTTTGTGAAATCTATTTTTTTTGTTAAACCACATTATGCCATCATTTGCACCCCTTTGAAAAATGAAAAAAAATACAAGTTTGACATTAAGCTTCTGCAATTTCTTAGTCTCCCACCACGAGTAAGTAGGAAAAATTATTTTTTAATCGGTTCATGACTTAGATGATGGCAGTTCTCGGAATAACAAAACATAGCACTATAAAACAGTTTGAATTACCGTAGTTTGGGCAGCAGACCTTGAGCCAACAGACAGATGAGAGCACTGTGAGGTTAGTCAGACTGCACAGGCCAAATAAAACCCCACAGAAGGCATAGGCAGTGCACGTCGTCAAATTAAACAGCCACCTGAACAGAGAAAAAAGGAGAACATTTATAACTGACTGACATTTTGATAACAAGTGAAGGTTTCTCTGCAAAATCTTTCAGATGGATTTCACAATTCATATCCAGGCAGTGAGACATGTAATGCATTTCCTGGCTGTCCCCTGGGTCACGTGTGATGCTGCTGAGCAGTGATGCACTTTGACCCACCCGTGGAAGATATGACAGGTTGGAATCCATAGATCCTCGGGGGATCAGACAAGCAGGCAGAGAAGGTCAATGGATGAGGCAAGAGTCGAATGAGCGATAGAGGTAGCATGTAATGTGTCATTTTGACTGTTTTTACTCGTAGCGTATGTGTTGCTCCCACTTTGTGAGTCATTTAGAGTCCACATCATTCCAGCCAAATGTGCTCCCTCTGACACTTTTGTAGCCAAAACTGTACAGCTTCAGTGCTGCAGGAGATGATCATTTCAACTGTATTGTAGCTATTTAACACACAAAAGGCCATAGAAATAATGAAAAAGGCTCAATCTTAAGGTTTGATAAGTACTCACCATAACAAAAAATTAGGAAGTGGCAAATGAGGATAGATTAAATTGAAAGTCAATTGATGATTTAGGTTGTGAATGATATGAGTGTGGTCATAGCTTTGCAAGGCATGGTAATATATGATGGAGACACGGCTATTAATCCATGTCAGGCAAAGTGCTTGTGCCTTTGAGGCATCTATTAACTCTAAAAATCATATATATTTCTTTTTTTTAAAGATCATCTATACACTTTTCCAGTCTTTTGTGTTGTCTTGGCCACAGCGGCAGTGGTGCACACTTGTTCAGGCCTCTGAAGGAAATCTTGGGGCAACATTTACAAAAAGGCTGACAAGGTTAATTCTCTCAACCAAGGGCAGGTTCATGCGAAAGTAAAAATACTATATTTCATATTTTAAGCATGATGCAACATGCATGTCATATCAACATTTTTAAGAGGCATGAACCAGTCTTTTTTTTTCCGAAAAGTATTGTTAAACATCAGAGAAAAGGTTTCTTAATTTGTTTTTTTTAATCAGTTTATACTGGACACATTTATGTTTTCTAGACAAATGATAATTATTTTAATCTGAAGACCTTTTTTAAACAAAGAGTCATGGATAGTATTGGCTTGTTGGAGGCATCTATGATTAAAAGGTATCCCTGCAAATAGTAATATTATTTAAAATGTAAATATCCTCCCACTTTGTATGTGTCCAGCTGACATTTTTCATTAACTCCTTTTACATGTAAACAGCGGGATGGCTAAATGAAGAGTGAGCTCTACACTCTCTGCAGACTCATCTCCACGTGTAGCTGCAAGACGTTGTCTGAATTCAACACAAAAAGGATAGATTTTTACTCTAATTTTTTTAACAAACTAACACAATGTGTCTGCAGTTGTTAGGAGCTGGTTAAAAGCAACACAACGGTCAGTGTATGATATTCAAAGTTGTTGTTTTTTCACACAGCACACCGTTAGTGAAGCACATAGCCTCACTAACTGTGAATTCTCCAGAGGTTTGCCTGGTGAGTTAACTAGTTGGATAAACACTGGATATTCATTTTCACATATGAAGCTCTCTGCACACAATATAAAGAAACTGTTTCTCACACCTGCAACCCCGTTGGGAACAAGCAGTATAGAAAATGGATGGATGAATGTTCCTTGGACTGAAAGGGAATAAAAGCAACACAATGATCTATAAATGTAAAAGTGTTGAATTTTAATAGTAATTCAAATGAGACTTTCAACAATTCATGTATTTAGTCTCCAAAGGGCTGTGTGGTACAAAAAAAAACATAACTACAGAACTGCTATCAGTAATGACAGGCTAAAAAAAAAAATACCCTCACATTTGCATTCATAATGTATGTGGGAATGTCATGAAAGCCTCTTGTCATTTTGCTGATGAGTTTTTCATGAAGGTGCGAATCGTCATTGCCCTGCCTCCCATCTAACGATTTGTTCTGTCTTTAATCCTACCAGTTAGATAAGAGGATGAAATGGAAAACAGAACACAAGTATTTATCCTCACTCTCAGTTCATCCGGAGGCTTCTTCTCAGCTCATTTAAACAATCAACACTGAAGTGATTCGAGGCAGAAGAAAGAATTTGGCAACATAGAAGGAAAAAAGGCACAAAGGACCATGAAAGGAACACGGGGAGCCTCTGTTGCAAATCTTAAATTTTTACCTCCTGAACGGGTTTTACTACATGTTGAGATCACAGAACAGAGGAATGGACTGAGGAGAAACCATGAAAAGAAATTGAAGGGTGACTCACATGTGAGCATAGGCTGAAGGAATTGCCAGAGGGAACAGAGTCATAGTCATGCTCAGGTCACTGATGGCCAGATTGACAACAAAAAACTCTGCTGGCTTCAAGGAGGACTTCTTTCTATAGGCGACAAATAGTAGGATTCCATTTCCCAGTATGGACAGCACACCTTATGAAGAGAGAGAGTAAGAGAGAGAGAGAGAGAGAGAGAGATGACATGCTTAAGAAGATTGGATTTGTGTTTATATTCATTTATTAAAAATGGCAAACAAAGTAACTTACCAAAAATGGTGTAGAGTGTTCCCATGATAAAATCATTGTCTTTTGATATTCTGGACAGGAGCAAAAATGTTTCAGAGGCATTTCCCATCTAGGGCAAAGACACACAAGAGAAAAGATGAAAGGAAAATATGTCTTTATCAATTTCTATGAATGACAAAAAAAGATGTGTTGTTTGAATGAAAAGGTTTTCCCCTTGATGCAACACCACAATGTAATTTACAAAAATAAAGATAGTCGTGAACGACCAGATTCCGATGGCCCTCGAAATGCTTAGCTGCTTCTATTCATAAATGGCTGATTTCATTATGAGTTACTTAAATGCTGAGAAAATTAAACAACTGCTCAGACAAAATTCTAATCTAACCTGAGTTTGAATTGTTAACACTGTTTTCAGAAATTGAATATCATTCTCCACATCAAAATCAGCCTCATCTCAGAAAGCAGGGTTTCATTTGCACACACAGCATGACCTGCTGCTGATACAGTATTCACAGAGGCAAACTGCTGAGGCAATGTTGCTGACTAAATTTATGGGTGGAGATAACATGCATATATATTCATAGACTTTCTATTTACTCCATGACTTCACCCATATTTACATATTAAAAGGAAGGAGTTAAATTAAATCACCTGGGGGTTAAGAAAGGAGCTGCTTCTGGATAAATCCAAATTACTACACACTGCAGCTAATCTTCAAAGAGGACCAGAGGTGGGAAATTCTTTTATGTTTTTTTGTGTGGACCTTCCAAAAAAGTGTTCCATCACCTTTATGTGGCAAACCATAGCTTGTCAGAAGACACATAAAAGTTTTAATTTAAGTGTGAGTGCGTAGTTACATGATGTGTTTATATCCTGTTTATAATTATGATAATGCAGTAGATACTTATAAGCAATCCAAACTTACAATAATCAATTATACAAAATGTTTTTTTGATTATTTCATCAGTCATTAAAACCAGTCAACATTTTTTCATTCTAAATGCATCACTCACTATGCACCAGTATATGAAAAAAGAAAATCATATTTTTGGTTGCTATGAACCAAATTAAACGTCTTGAAACTTGAAGGTAAAACTGAACACAATTATAGCATAATTTGAGTGTGTGTATTTGTGTGTGTTTTGTTTTGTTTGTTTTCATTTCCAATGCGCTTAAGAGTATCTCAGTCCCTTTTCATTTTCGTATGTTTCCTCTGATGTTAAATAGCTTGCGGTCTGGTGAATGTGACGAGAACAGATGGGGCATGATGGCGCTTTAAGAAGCCCTGAAGGAAGACGTCACACCAGCTGATGAGCACACAGATAAGTGCCATCAGCTGAGAAAGAATGCACTTATTCTATACGAAATCCAATAAAGAGGAAACGTGGATAAATAGAAATGATGTAACTAAATGATGCGAATAATGTCCTAAATTTATTTTAGGACATTCCTTTTATTCTTTTACATTCTTTCTTATATATTCTTTTATATAAAAGAAACATGCATGGAAAAAATGGTATATAAATCTAAAATCTAAATGTTGAACTGCCTTATCAACATCATTAAGATTCACGTTACTGAAAAACAACACTGTCATCCTCATTTTGTTGACGAAATCTAAAAGGATTTTAGTCAAACACCATTAACTAGAAATGTTCATCCACAACTGCCAAGATAACATTATTGAAAAATGAACGCAGATTGATAAACAACATGTGTTCAGTTTCAAGATTCTACAGTTTATCCATGCAACAGGAAGTCTATCATGCCAAAGCCTTTTACTACGTCTTCTACATACACAAATAACAATCTGGCATATGGCTTTAAAGCCATGTTATCACAGAGAGAAAGCATGCTGTTCTACTCCCCACGTCTTTCACATGTTACAACTTAATCAGATTGTTTCAGCCATTAATCTCACTTTTAACAAGATATCCCTGGAATGCTGGAGTCCCCTGCTTCATTTTCTCCAATCTTCATGCAGGTTTGTAGCTCTTTAAGCGTGTCTGTTGGTCCTCGGGGTAAGCTAATTTAAATTGAATTTTAACATACACTTTTCCTTATTTCTTGTCTGCTGCTGAAAGTAAAATTTGAATTGGCAAAGATTAAAAGACAGAAATGGGAGGTAAGCTGAATTTCAATCAGGGTTTTACATGAACTCATAAATAAGAATTCAATATTCGCTATCTGCATCGGACTGTCAGCAAGTCAACTGATTCAAGTAACACTTTTCTCAGCCCATCAGCAGGGAGTCTACAGGGTCTTTGAAACTACTATGTGGAAAAACTATAAATCGCCATGTACTGTATGACCACGGCTGTAAATTTGCTGAATGTTTTTTTTAAACATTTCAGTCCTCCTTCTCTCAAAGGGGTCTGAGCCCACACAGGACCAGCAACATAGATCAGACGTAGCCTGCATACATAAAAAGAAAAATTCCAATATGACACCATTCATAGTTTATAACTCAGATATTAAAATCCTTCAATGGAACTTCAATATTAACCATACACAAGAGTTCACTCTCTTAATAAGAACCATTTGGTTATCAGAAGATTCAAAACTGTATGATTTTACTGAGTCACTGACCCCTCTACAGTTTAATGATGGCCCCATAGGTCTCGAGGACTGTACTATGACTGTTGCTGATAATAACCATCAGGATTGTGACTCATCAGGGTGCGTGCGTGGTCTGGTTCTGTATCAGTGTTTCAATGCTTGTTTGTTTTTCTTTTTTAAAACATTTTTCTTTTTTCAGGACCTCCAATTTAGAACAAAATTCATATTTCGTTCAGATCATAGAGTTTGTAGTTTTCAATTTGGCTTTACCACCCACTGTGATGCTGTGAAGTCTTGATATTGTGTTTAAATTACTCTTGCAAAGTTGTTCATTTTCCCATATTCATATTCAAGATTTGTCTCAGGAATAAATCAAATTAAGCTTTGAATATGGAATTAAATTATACCAGTACTCTAACAAACATAAGTATGTAGTACAGTTAACCTTTGTGTTTGTCTTTGGCTTTGAGAAAGTCTTCTTATGCTGCTTCATTATCACAGTGGCAGCAAAAAGAGTCTGCATCATGGATTGATAAGCTTAATCTAAAATTTCCAATTTCCTTTGACCACTATGTTCAGGCGGATAATTAAACAGACCCCCTGTTCTTCAGGGAGGATATGATCTCTTCTCAATTTAGAGTAACTTCTCCCAAACGTTTTACATCTTTTGAGGTCTTGTAGTTACAGAACAAAATCATTACAAACTTTGGCCACGCACCTTACACATGGAACAAATCACACACTGCCTTAAAAAATAGGCATTTCATTTGGTCAGTTGATATTTGGTATTTCTTTAAAGTCTCATATCCTTTAGTCTTTGTTTAATTTACTACTTTGATTCTGCCTGTTATTTCTTAATGTTGTTTCTTCTTTGTTCAAACTGGGAAAAGAGATTCTACTGGAAATGAGGCTGCACAATTGCTAATGAAATTAAATAAATATGGAAAGTCAGGAACTAATGGGTGTTATCATTTCTATTATATAATCTTTACCAAATCGTTTTTGTTTCAGTTGTGATGTTTTATGAAACTTGATGTTACATAAACCATCCAAATGTCAGGATTATGGTGCTTTTCATTAGATGAGGCGAAGAAGCTCTCGGATTATAAAGGATAGACTATACCTGTCTCACACTCAATAAAACTGTTCCGAAAATTTCTATTGTTAATCTACATTTCAAGGTATTTGGTTACTCAAGCGCCCGTGGAATGTGAAGAGCCCTCTACCTATTCATATTTTGAGTTTGAGAAAGACAAAAATAAAATGCCCTGGTTGGACAGCTTAGTTATCCTGCCAGAAGAAGAGCTGCCTCTTAGTTCTGTTCTCACATTCTTACTTAAAAATGCGCATTTTGCAGAGGTTTAAAAATATATTCAGAAGGGTTCATGGGTTAGAAAACAACTGTCTCAAGCATATACTCCAGAATTCTTGTTGAGACAACCCAGCCAAATACAAGTAATTTATTTTGGAAAATAACCAGAGGCCATGTGTGAAAACAGTGGGAAATGCACCAGTACAGAGAGAGAATGTGCGCCAAAAAGATTTGCTGCTTTATATAACTTATTGCTGTCCTATAGGTTGCTTTCCATTCTCTTGTCAATATTCATCATCAAAAAAAGAGAAGAGAAGAGCTGAGAAAAGAAAAAACCTGGAGTAGATATGAAAACGAAGCACGGGGCACTTGAGTTTACCTTGGCCATGGTTATAGATGGCGTTTTGGGTTTGGGGAGATGGATGACCATTCTTCCAGAACGTACTCATCCCCTCATCATGTGTTTTGATTATAGAGGTGGGGAATGTGTCCAACTCACGAAAACATAACATACCTAAACTAAACAGTATGTGACTTTTCTGACTAGTAGTAATGCTCATCCATAAATGGACAAGTTAGTCTCATCAGTGTAGGGGTTAGGAGGTTAAAGTAGGTGACGCAACGCAAGCCAATGAAAATGATCTGCAGATGTTTGATAACAATGAATATTCAATGTAAAAACCTCAAGATGTACTCATTTAAATCATCTTTGCCAATTGAGCATAAAGCACATCACATCATGTGAGTCAGTTCATCAGAGTGGTTGACCTACTGTAAGGGCCCATTGGACTGGCTTTGGGACTCTGCTCCAATCACAACGGCTGATGGCACACTTCCCCCTTCAAAAGGCTCAGGCAGCGGCTCATTGGGTGGCAGCTGTAGCTTGATGTGCGCCAGCCGCCATCATTTTCTGTTCAATGTTTAATAATGTGGCCATTTTGCTTTGATTTGTTATTCTAATGTGCATAACTGTGCCGACTTTATAAAAGCCTGAGCATGTTGTGTACTGTAGCTGGGCTTGACCTGTTGTGTCCAGACTTTTTGGGGTTTTCTCTTTTCAGTTTATTTAGTTCAGATATTTCATTGTGTATTTTGTTTTTGGCCAACTAGTACAGTTTTAGAGAAGCTTTTTTGGCTGTTTTCTTTAAGTAAGTAGTTCCATTCTTTAGATTCTAAGGGAAATCTTGGTTATGTTTAGATCCTTTAATTGTTTTGAGCTGCACCTTCAGTCCTGTGTTTCTCAGATATATATATATTTTTTTTTCCCGTTTTTGCTCTTTAATAGACCTTTGAAC